AGTATTTCAAGTCAATTGTCACCAATGTTGCTTCAATTAACATGTTTGAAAAATCCAAAGAATGTCAACTCTGATTTCTCATTCTTTCAAGTGCAAGAGTTTTACAGCTTATACTCTGTATCAAGATACTACAAAGTACTACGAATATAGCTTTACAAAAATTATTTATAATATTTTATCAGTAATTATTAAAAAATATTTTCCTTTGTACCATATTGAATACGCTAAGATAAATGTAGTGGTATGACAAAAACGCCATTAAGCAGTTTAACAAGAGAAAAAAGTGACCTAAATAATCAAGTACTATTATTTCAATGAGAAAACTTCAAATTGCTCAGAAACTCTTGTAAGAAGTGGCCCAAACTTTGCAGCTAGTCTATCACTCCGTATTTGGTTTAAACTACGCAATTCAGGTGTAAACATTCATCCACGTGTCACCATGTAACTTAGCAAGACTCCTGTGACTACATTTTACTCTCTCCCAGCACTTTCAAAAGCCTTGTAACATATGATGCACCTGGGCTGCCCAGCCAAGAGGCCTACTGACCTCAAATTAGAAATACTATACAGTAAGTCATTCATACCATGTTTTTCCAAGTTCTGTCAGCCAAGTTGGTATGTTTCCTGTCATAATTACCAAAGGATCCTGAAGCTGCCTGTTTGCTTTTGCTGTCAGTTTACTGTTGATAAACTCTGAGGTTGGAATTATCTCCTTGCAGATTGCATTCTGTGTTAAATAAAAACAATGTACTTCTAGTTAAAGAAATGCTGGAAGAAATACCAAGTCTTTGTTAAGAGGTCTTTTATGCTTCTAATTTGCTTATCATCGCAAGAAAAAAAACTTTCATTGTCACTTTGGTCATACAGAGTCTAAGCCATGAAAGAAAGACCGAGCAGATTTTTACTATTCATTTTCTTTTCAGGAATAACGTTGCTCTTTGAACTTAAAGAAGGAAAAAGCATGGAAAATGTGTTTAACACACTATAGAGGAAATATGATTGACTATAAGAATTTATAGCCTTCATCTTACCAGAAGTTAGAGAAACAGGTAGGGGAAGATGGTAATATTTGTATTATTCTGTTTTGGTGGGGGACAGCGGACAGGGGGAAGAAGGCTATTTTAAGGCGTCCCAGGACAGAGTTGTCTGTATCAAGTATGAAAGTGATTTAATAAGTGCTCTACTCACATCATACAAGTAATACCAGTATCGACTGATAGCATGTAAAACTCTCAAAAGAAGAATAACATCTAATGAGGGATCTTCAAATGTTATGTTTTCAGGTGGAATAGATACGAGGTAAACTTCCAGAGGATTTAATACCGAAGGGCATACACCATCTAGCAGGAAAAAAGAATTATATTACCAAAATATATCAATTAGAAGTCTTCCCAAGATTTAATTACCAGGAGCCTAGGTAGTATTAGTCCCGGCAGTCACTTAACTATAGCAGTTTAGTTAGACAATTCAGTAAGTATCTTATGTTTAGTTTTAATACACACATTAATATATGCTTACTTTTCTTATACTATGCTTGCACTAAGGTGCACACATAGAAGCACTATGGTGTCTCTAAACACACTTCCTCCCCATCCTTCCAGAAATTTCACAAATATAACATATTAGCAAGGCAACACACTCACCATGCCACAATTCATCATGCTTTTTAGAATTTCTAGGCGAGGTTTTCGTGGGAGCAGTTTGTGCTCTTCCTCTTTTACCACCAACACAGTCCTTATTACCATCTTCATCCTCTCGCACGGGTTTGTACCTAAAAAAGTAATTAAAAGTTAAAAACTAACTTACATGGAAACAAAAGCAGTTATGAAAGTGTCAATTCTTTGATTACCAGAATTTTACTTGGAATGACAGTTAAAAGCAGAAAGACAAGAACAATGCATTTGGATATGATCCAGCTTTTGAAGCTAGGCCCTCAAAAGTAAAGTATGTCATGGGGGAGAAAAAAAATGGGGACCCCCCGGCTCCATGAACTGGAAGAACAGAATCAGAAGGTATAGACAAAAAACTGAAGTGGTGGTTTTGTTTTTTGTTGTTTTTCTTTGGTTGGTTTTGGGTTTTGTTTTGGGTTTTTCTTTTTTTTTCTCCTTTTTTTGCCTTTGCATAACACATTTAAATATTAGAAAGAAAGACACTGCTGAATGTTAAATGTTTGACACAGTCATAGGTCAATACTGCTCCTTGCAAAGTATGGCCAGAGAATACATATACCTGCACAGCAATCAACTATGAAAACCAGTATGAAGTTGACCATTATTTGTAGACTGCAGACACATTCTCTATTGTTTGTGGTTAGTTACCTAACACTAAGAATTATTTCCCTCCATCTAGCAAGTGTCATTTAAGATTCTCCATTTCTTGTTCATCAGCTTTGCTCACAAGCTAGAAAGAACATCAGTAGCTAACAATGAATTCTTATTAAGATTTAAATATCTCAAGCACATCAGGAAATTCAAAGCTTCACAGTTTTGGAGGGATAAAAAAAAAAAAAAAGAGACAGCTATATTCCAATTTTCTTTATGTATATACGTCTAGGAAACTGGAGAAGTTGTCCCTTCATTTCTCTAGCCAACTTACCAAATGGTATGCGTTTTTGTCCAAATCCCAGCTCTTCCTAATGGGTTGCTTTCATCATCTGTAGACTCCCTCTCCTCCTCAGCTTGCAAACTGTACTGCCTAACTGCTTGATACACAGTCATATTGTATGGCAGCAAGTGATCTCCAATGTAAAATTGCAGTCTGTGTCTCACATTCCCTGAATTTAAGAATTGAGCAGCCTGAACAAAACAAAAAAACACCACGCATACAAGTTAGGTAACTTGTTGCTAGCTTTTCTTTAAGCCTCTCCCCACACTGTTCCCTCCCCTTACCCCCAGAGCAAAAGCTTACCAAAGATTCATCTATTTCTTCGTCTGACCCATCATCATCACTATCCTCATCATCTTCTCGAACTCTTCCATAGCCTGAGGCAAGAGAGGAGAAAGAGATCCTTATTTGTTTTTACACAAAATGTAGCAATGCTTCTGTACTCTGACTCTCACAAACCCCACTATTTAAAACAGTTCCCAAATACATCAGTTAAAAAAAAGGTTCAGACATGTTAGAATAAATTTCGGTATCAACATCTGGCATCAAAAATGCCAAGTTACAGCCAATCTGACAGTCAACTAGATTATACTTCTGTTAGTATTCAGACTGAACTGTTTACAACAGGAAAGAGTTTGTCCCAGAAAAGAGAAGATTCTCTGCAGCCTTAGTCTCCTCCCCTTGCTCCTGTGAGCAAGATACATTTATAGGTACCTCCCATTTGTCTTCAGTATAATCCTCACAGGTTTTTAGACTCTACACTACTGACAATAGTGACTATCCCAAGAAGCAAAACACATGTGACTATGTAATATATATATACCTCTAACTACAAGGTATCTTTCAATGGCTTGTACCAAAGCCAGAGGATCAATCTTCACAGGTCCACCTTTCCACTGTTTCACATTAGCACAGTCTGGATGTCTTTGCAGTTGGCATTTTAATTGATGTGTATTGAAGAATTTTAAAGCTTGGGATCCTCTGTTAAGAGAAAAACTCAAAATAATTTGTGAAAAAAGTTGCTACACAAAGAATCTAATAACCATAATTGCATTAAAAATGCATTAAAATAGGCTTATACATGCATTTACAAAATCACTTGTTCCGAGTGTTATTTCTCAGCCTATTTCTCTAAAAATAAGCTACTAAGATTTGGATAAAGAGATTAAAAATTTTGTTCTACAAGAACACCAGAATCCAAGTTGGACAAAATCAGATTTCCAATGGAAGCTACATAGATTAAGTCCAGTCAGAGGTCTCATTACAATATGGCCTATACTGACAACGTTTGATGTCTGAAGTTGTTCAGTGATCAGCTGATGCCGTATGAGATTTGGAGCTCTGTTTACCTGCAGTGCAATAACGATCAGAGTTGGGGGTGGAAAATGCAAGTATCCATTCATACGGTTTTAATAAGAACCTAAAGAGACAACCTGAAAGCTCCTCTGTTTTTTCTTGCCAAGCGTCCTGGTTTTGGCTGGGATAGAGTTAAATTCCTTCCTAGTGCTGTGTTTTGGATTTAGTATGAGAAGAATGTTGATAACACACTGATGTTTTCAGTTGTTGCTAAGTACCCTACTGGTCAAGGACTTTCAGCTTCCATGCTCTGCCAAGTGCACAAAAGGCTGGGAGGGAGCATAGCCAGGACAGCCAGCCCAGCTGGCCAACAGGGTATTCCACACCATGTGACTTCATGCTCAGTATATGAATGGTAGGCGTGTTCCAGGAAGTAGCAATCACTACTTGGTTATCGGTCAGTGAGGGTAGTGAGCAACTGCATTGTGCATCACTCATTTTGTATATTCTATCATTATCCTCATCATCATCATTATTTTCTCCTCCTTCTCTGTTCTATTAAACTGTCTTTATCTCAACCCACGAGTTTTCTCACTCTTACCCTCCCGATTCTCTCCCCGTCCCACTAGGCATGGGGGAGTGAGCGAGCGGCTGTGTGGTGTTTAGCTGCCTGCCAGGTTAAACCACGACACCAAGTATAGTTTATATACATGTTCCATCTCACCCAGTTATCAATGTTCAAGCTAGCCATTTTCACACACAAACCTCTTATCTTGGGCTGCTTCTACTTCCAGGTGCTAGTGAAAGACTACCAAATCTCAATGCCTCAAAATCCTCATTGACATAATCCACAGGAAGACTAGCAGTCAAACAATGCTGCAGTAGTCTGATTTCCCATGTTTAATTTTCTATCAAAAAGAATAGCAGAATTTTGCTTCTATGATTAGCAGCTTTATAACTTCCGTAGTTATCCCACTTTTTACAGAAATAGTGCACATTAGGAAGCGTTTTAAGATTACTATTTGCAAAAGCCGGTATCAAGACAATTAATTCCTTCAAGTATTACAAATCTGTGTACTGCATTCATTCCCATGGATTTTAACACTTTCACGAAAAACATGTACCGAATTTTAATGTAAGTTAGGTTAATGCTATAGTGTGAGGCTCTAATACATCTACTACAACAGATGTTGTGTCACAATTAGTGACAAAAAAATCCACACTATCTTACTACCTGAGAGACTAAAGATTTTGGCATTTCAAACTTTAAAGAATAGTTTTCAAAAATTCATTTTCAATGCTCCTTCCCTCCTAATTTCTACATAGTCACAAGAATATGACTATAATCAAATTGAGCTTCTAGCCAGCACCACATTCTTTCAAAAATACTTTCAAAACTTATATGCAACTTATACTAAAACAGACTTACTAACTGCTATACACTGAATGAAAAAGTGTTTTGAAAAATGAAAAAAAGTACAGAAAAGAAATTGTAGAAATAGGTTTTCAGTCACTCAAATTTGTTACTTAAAATGCACACAACAAGTTGGATTCCAAATTTAATCTATTTTAAGACACAGGGCAGATCTACAGTTATTTTAAACCACGTTGACAGCCAACCATTATCACTCAATCCATTATCATCCTAGAGAACAAAACCTATCTGACTAACAGAGTTCAGCGCTGTAATACAAACTTTCAGCAGCTTTATTACTTCACTAAAAAATATCAGTGTCTCAGCAATAGATTATTTCTTTCCAGTATTCGTTATATGGGGACAAGGAAGACATTTGAATTTTTAAAGCTTAAATTTAAAAATTGCATTTCCAATTACACATCCACCCCCAATCTAAGCAAGAGAAGTTTCAAGATAGTAAGCAAACATTTGGTTAAATATTCAATCTTCCACTGAATAAAAAAGCCAACTGTGTAATTGCTTTTGTCTTTAACAGGGTCAGAAGTTGCCATTACCTCTTGGAACTTTTAGCATTGAGACAAGTTTTGGAAAACAAAAGCTCCCAACAAACCATTACCTGAGCATTAATCCTTACCTGCTCCCTGTTCCATTTCCACTAGGGAAGTCATGCACTTTGACAGGGAACTGTTCCATCTGACTGAGGCAATTGTTCATTTTATGGACTAATGCCAACAAAGGTGCATTTTCTAATGGCTCTAATCTTCCAAGGGGTTCTTCTCCAGGAAGCTGAAACATATTCCAGTCTTTTAGTTATGTGCTTGAATTAATCCATCTTAAACAATTTATACCACGAGTTGTTTAAAAAAAAAAAAAAAGGGAAATTAAGAATCACCGCTCTCACTTGAAGTAGCAGCAGTATGAGGATTACTAGATGACACATAAGTTTATGAAATACTTTTTTCAAACAACGCACTTCTCTCCTGGTTTCAATTGAATAGCCCTACAGATTTTAAGCATTCACCCTTAACCATGAGCAGGGAGTTTCATGGAAGCTGCAGTTATCTACTTTCCTCTCTTCCACTTTAAATTTCTTACTTTAAAAACAGGATAATCTAGTTTCTTGCAGTATTTAGGACTAAAGAAAGCAAGTGATAAGACTACTATCCAAACTCTTTCCATACCAACTTCTTAAAAATCAGGAACAACTTTTAAGTTGTTCAAGACTCAGACAATTGGCCATTTTGGAATTTTTTTCCACTGTTGTATGGAATTTTCTGTAATTACAAGGTATTCTAAAAAGTTTATGACCTGTAAAGACACAGAACCACGTGAAAGTTGTAGTATTCTACAGCTTAGGCATAACAAAACATTCCTTCCATACTCCATCTTTAAGTCAAGGTCATTGCTGAACTTCTCAGATGGTCAGATAAGTACAATTTGAGAGAAAGACAACTAAGAATGACAAAACAAGAAAACTTACTGGAGAAGAAAAAAATACATGAAGAAATCTTTTCAATCTGATATCCCTGCTTACAGCATCTTTCTCACTTTTAGATGTCAAATAAAGCAGCAGTTGTTTAACAAACCCACTATGCTGGATTTCAAAGGAGGAGACATCAGACTCCGAGACAATGCTACGGATTTCTACAAGGCACTCTGTTCCACCATCCACCTGAAAAATATGAAGGTAGTACTTTACTACCCAGGTATAAAGGGCTTAAGAAATACTGGTTTCCTCCTACTGCATGGAACAGCTCTAAAGGGTAGGGAAAAAAAGGGAAAGTCTGGAGTGTATAGTAACTCAATCAAGCAACAACAGGGCAAATAATCTGAGGATAAGCAATTTCTCTATTCAAGAAGAGACATTACAGGCAACATCTACATTTTCCCTGTTTTAAGAGAAACACAAGGTCCCATTTCTGTCTCATGCAACGTAAAGATGAGCTCCAAACAGAAGTTGTTTTTGTTTTGTTTTTAAAAAAACACCTCAGATTGGTGTATTTTACATGACATCTCTGTGGGAGAGAGCAGGAGGGAAAGTTTCATACTTTAATGATTGCTTAGATCAAAGTACAGAACATAACTCAGCTGTTCAGCTACTTAGGAAGTTACAGGTTTAGACCATCTATCAAGGATCACAACTGCCTGAGAAGCAAGGCTCAAGTTCTTGAGATGCTAGTAGATTTGGCCCAATCTGTATTTCTTCTACCCTTTCAACAAAATGCTACTTCTGTCTTGTCCTACCCCCACCTCCAAAGTTCTTATTACAAACTGTGTTCTTCTTTAGGTATAAAGTCAATCCCTAACACTTAACTGTAGAGTTTTTAAAACTGAAATAAAATGGTATGCAATTCACATTGCTAGGAATCAAGAATACCCTCGTTAATACTAGTAATTTATCACAAATTACATGTGTCAGATCTTACATACTAATTCTGAAAAAAATCCCAAGCAAACCATTGCAAGTTAAGAAACACCGTAGTATCATCATTTGAGATAACAAAAACTATGCTTAAAATATTGGCCATACTGTCTAAAATGGTCAGCTTTCCTCTAGCTTCCTCCTAAATACTTCTACAGCTTCCATTCCCACCCCAACTCCAAGTAAGTTTGCCATTTCTAACCTGGAGGTTGAGTTGTTCAGTTGCAGTGCAAAGTCTCTGTAATACGTTTAGTGCAGGATTGCTTCCATCCATGTTTTCAGAACTAAAATAACGTTCTACAAATTTATGCGCTTGCTCCTTAATCCAGCCCTTAATTTTTTCTCTGTAAAGAAGGACACAAAAGGCATTCGGCCACACTTAGCATTTGCACACTCCAATATTACAAGTAAACACAGCCAGAGTATCATTTTCCCCATGTTTAACGGCAGTCACAGACAGAAACCCTTCCCTCTTACTCCAACACAGTAAAGGTCTATTCTCTACAGATTACTTCTTGCACCATTTTTCCCAGTTCTCCAATTTTTCCCCAGCATGCCACTCTAAACTATTAAGAGGTTATTTTCTCTACCTTAATTTCTTCATTCTTCTTCCAGAGTTATTTTCACAGTGGTTAAGCTCAAACTTCTTTGATAGGTGCTAATTAATCATCTGATGGCTTATCATAAGAAAGTAGCTGCACCTCAAAGTCAACACCATATCAGAAGTACTTTGATTTTTTGTGTGTACCTGTTATTTGAAATGGTATCCTTGGAAGCAGCCCTTGCAAGACCACTTACTCCTGCTGTTCGTGCTGGTTCAATATTATTACTGTTGGACTGTGTGCTTAATCTTCCCCATGTTTTAGGATTTAAACTTGCCAAGAAGGAAGATTTAGGAGATTGAGTAGTTGTAGGGCTTTTAGCTGGAGGAAGCAAAGACAAAATTAAGGGAATCAACAGGTTTATTACAGCTAGCACTTTTGACAGCCTATAAGCTTACTTTTAAATTTAAAAGGAGATAGAGTATCACATTTTAAGAACGATTTACCTTGATTGTCTACTTTGTCATCATCTCTTGGAGGAGAGTATTTTGGTCTCCTTGGCCCTCGTTTTGGCAGTCTTTTTCTCTTTAGAACATCGCTCAGTCGTCTGTCCAAATTTAAAAATAAGTAACACGTTTCCATCCACCATATTCATACACATATCCATCCCTCAGTTTACAATGCATCTGCCAGCTATTTCCTCAAGAATTAAAATAAGGTTCCATCCCATAACAAGGAGGACACAAGGGAAGAATGAGCTCTGGGAGAAGAGGCCTCAATTCTACTTTAATTGGAAGGACAAAGTGACTACTCCATCCAGAAAAAAGGGGTTTTGCTTGCTGTCACCCTTCTACTGTGGGAAGCCAAACACAGCCAGAAGTGCCACTAAATAAAGGTTTCGCATTAATTTTCATGTTTTCATTTGTGTAACCATCTGGTTATTCATTTGTTTGAATACAGTTAAAAAGAAGAAAAAAAAAATCCACAAGTCTCTACTGAATCAACACCAAAAGACAATGGGTATTTGACCTGCCTCCCCTATTAAAGCCCAGAAAGCACTTTTTCAACAATTTATGGAGTTTCTACTCACCAAGCCCTAAACTTTTCAAGTTCACACATTTCAATTCTGGTTTAAGGTGAGTTTCCTTATTATGCCAATACATTAAGACAAACATTTCACCTTTAAAATAAAGGCAAACTGTGTAACGCTAAAATAATTTATTCCTACAAGAGACAATCATTCTACAAGTGTTCCAAGTGGTTGCATTCCCACAAAATAACTTAAAGATTACTTTTTTCCTCCAGTCTCCAGCAGAAGGGAACCATGCACCATAGCTATCATTTCTCTGAAGAATCACTCTGTCCTCAAGAGTTACGTGAAACTACAGCTGTTGCTGTTGGCATTCTCCAGCCTCTCCCCAAACAGCATGGATTGTTTCATATCATTACTTCGTAATTATCAGGTCACTAGTTTTTTTTTTTTTTTTTAAACATTTCATATAAAATGAATCAAAACTGCTGCCCATTGATAGCTTCAACATCACTCCATTTTAGTTCCTTAGAGGAAAATATCACAGCAAAATGCAGATGATACTGCAGCAGCCCATGTCAGTCAAGACTTTAAAAAAAAACCCCAAAACAAAAAACCCACAAACGAACAACAAAGCACAAACAAAAAAACCCCACAGCTTGTTTGTTCACAACAAGTAGTGCACTTACCCCTGTGGGCTCAGATCCAAAGAATCCTCCCGGCTGTGCTGTAAGCTGGGAGAGCCCAAATCAGCAGCTGCATTACTGGCAGCAGTGGCTGTTCCAGTACTTATTGTTGTAGTGGTACCCAGTGTTCCTGATCCATTAGTGCATACTTTCGGTGGGCTTGTCAGCAAAGCCTCAGACTCTGCTAAGTTTTTCACTTGGTGCATCACCCCTTGACAAAAGAAGAAATCTTTGCTTGGTGGGTTGGTTTAGTTGTGGGGGTTTTTTTGGGAGGCGGCATGGGGACAAAGGTGTTTGAAAAGGTAGAAGTCTGTTATTAGAACCTCTGTTTTGACTATGGCAGCATTGGCTCACCCCACCCATCAATATTAAGTTTTAAAAGCAGTTCAACCCTTTCTTGAAAAAGTTAACCTACTTTAAAAAAAACAACAAAAAAAAAACCAGCAGCACAAACAGTAGCTAAAGAAACCCAAAAATCCCCAGTAGATTATAACGAAGAGTTCCTGCCAAAGATTCATCAGGTTTGTCCAGTAAGACTACCCATGTAATTTCAGCAAGCCATCTTCAGCCTAAATATAAGTTGACTAGCATCTAGTAAGCCTGTACAAACTTGTTTCAGATTCAGAAAAAACATGCTTGTCTCCTCTGGAGTCTCGGTCAGCTCCTCCCCAGTCATATGACAATAACTTGCATGGATTTGCCTTTGTTATTCAAGAACAGTATTAACTTTTTACAGCTTGGCAGGAATGGAGCGGAGGGTAAAGGATATGGATTCTTCACACACATGCTTTCAAAATACTGAATAAGGAGATGAAGAGGAGGGGGAAAAAAAAAAAGAAAGCAAGATTTACCTTCTCTTCTGAAGTAAACACTAAAAATGTCAGGTAACTTTTGCATTAAAATCTCTGCCATCTGCAGGGCTCCAACTACTATCTTAAGGTCTTGACTTGACAGCATGGAGGCAATATGACTAAAACAGATAATTTATTAGAATTAGGTTTGTCTTCATTTTTGTTGTTTTAAAAAAAAGAAAAATAAAATCAAGCCAGTTCATCTTGCATACCTAGTACTAGAGACTGAAAGCAAACAAATTTCATTGTGCTTTTATAAAAGCTATAAATAAAAGGACTGAAAAAGTCCTCTTCCCGCCTAAATCACTTTTCCTTTACGCCACATGTTAAAACTTGGTAAGAGAGAGAGTTTTCTTCCTTTAAAGAACATGGTGGCGTGGAACTTTGTACTGCCTTTGAAAAACTAGTCAGTTTATTTTCTAATTGCATCCTTTTTTCTAGATCCCTAACTTATGGTATATGACATAAGAGAGGTTTCATGAATAGAACTTACCAGTTGAATGCCATCAGAGTCTGTTATTGTTCACATACTATTACCTCAAAAGTCATCTCACTCTCAGAAAAGTTCATAGGCAAGTTTTAGAAATCAGGAAAACAGTAAATGGTAATATTAGACATTACTAGTACACACAGCCATATAGGTAATCTAAGCTTCTAATAAGAACGCCTAGATTTGGCACCTACTGAAAAATCTAAGATGCAAATTCCTGAAGAGCTGGCAGCCTCAGCTTTTGGAAAATAAATACATAAGAATTTAAAAGTACAATTTTCCCCTGAAAAAGATGATTCAAAAAAAAGTAATGACAAGTTTGAGTTGTAAGCTCAATGGTTACGAACCCACCTTGAAACAGCATGGTTTTTCAGCACATCCTTCAGAAGTTCAGCATCAGCAAAATAAATTATCCTAAGAATTGCTCTAAGGCACTTGTGTCTAACAGCAGGTCCAGCTGAAGAACTATATACTTCATAAAGAACACCAAACAATGTTTTGATAAAGGATTTTGCCAGTTCTGGGTCCTCTTTCATTAGTTGTGCTCGAGCATCATCCTTCTTCAATTCTGAATGTCCACCTGTGAGAAATTGTGCAACAAATCACTGCATAGTTCTTTGCATCTCTGCTCTAATGATTACTTTCTTTTTTTTAAAGCTGAATTAGTCTAGCTCTTGCATTGAAAAGATACAATTTAAGAACCAGAAGCCAAACTGATGGCAAGAATGTAGGCACAAATCCTCCTCTTTCAAGGAATTGAATCTTTTTTCTTCAGTTTTCTTATATGTTTCTGTACGATAGTAAGAAGTCCTCACACAGTCTTCGTTAAATAAAAGAGCTGTATGAACAAAACCGTTTCAGAAAATCCCAAGCCAGGAACACCCCCAGCTCACCCCCAGTTTAATGCATTTTCAGTTCCCAGGAAAAGAGTTTACATGTTAAAAAGAACACATTTCAACTGTTGAGTTTTGTTGAAAAGCTGTCTTCATTCACGTAAATCAGAATAGCTTGATGTTCCACAGAAACCACAAGAAATATATTAGCTAAGTAGTAGACTGTTGTATAATCCAGCATATGTTAGCCATAGCTAGAGACACCAGGAGTCTCTTAAGCTGTACTTACTAGTGTTCGTATTGGCTAAAGGGTTTGGTTTTCGCTGAATGGCACGTGCTGTTCCAGTATCCTCATTTATTTGCTGCATAGAGTTAAAATCAATAGTATAGACACGCCCAAGTGTAGACAGGCTTATCTCATCCTCACCAACCTGATGAGCTGCCTAAAAACAAGGAAGAGTTTAAAGTTAAGAAGACCCTAACAAATAGGGAGCTATATGAAAGGTGCTGAGAGGGGCAACACAGTAGAAAAAACAATGACTGACAGAAATACAACTAGAACAGTGATTAAGCAGTTCACCCATTACTGAATACCAAAATAGTGCAATATTACAGCAGGAGGTTTGAGGAAACTCATGTGTTACTCAGAGTAAGGCTGATATTTTCAAAACCATAAAGAAAGCACTCAATTCCTTATACAACTGCATGCGTGTTTAAAAAACATCACCACACAAATGTGTGGAATTACTACCTCTATTATTCGACTATCAATCCTGTTATAGGGATGCCAGAGACCCCTGTCATCTCGCCATTGCCATATTGCACCATCTGTATTTTGCGCATTTCCTTTCTTTAGCATAGTATCAACAGCAAAGATTCCCTCTTTTGGCAGGCAAGGCATCAGTTCGCTGTAAAGAACATTAAAACAGTATTTTACTAGAAGTATAAAATAAAGTCCATCTAAGCTGATGTGCTGGTTTTGGCTCAGATAGAGTTAATTCTGTTCATAGTAGCTAGTATGGCCTCTGTTTTGGATTTGTGCTGAAAACAGTGTTGATAACACAGGGATGGTTTCGTTATTGCTGAGTAGTGCTTATACAGAGTCAAGGCCTTTTCAGCTTCTCATGCTCTACAGACTGAGAAGGCTGGAGATACACAAGAAGCTGGGAGGAGCTGGGAGGGGGTACAGCCAGGACAGCTGACCCAAACTGGCCAACAGGATATTCCATATCATATGATATCATGTTCAATATATAAACTAGGGGAAAGCTGGCCGGGGTGCTGCTGCTCAGCGACTGGCTGGGCATCGGTGGGTTGGTGGTGAGCAATTG